AGTACAAGGATGGGGGGGCAGCAGAGGAATGCAGTTACAGTGGTCTCTCCTCCCCGCTGGTGTCGGCTGCAGTGGTCTGTGCCCCTGCAGATACAGACAGGGAGAGCAACGGGGATTGAAAGGGACAGAGACTTCTGCAGCCAGCACCAGCAGGGGAGAACGGAAGAGCAGAGTGGCGGCAACTAATCGAAAATCAACTACCCTCGGCTCTCTTTTCCCCCGGCTTTCTCTCCCCGCTCGCGCTCTCACTCTCTCCCCGCTCGCGCTCTCACTCTCTCCCCGCTCGCGCTCTCACTCCGCTTGCGCTCTCACTCCCCGCTCTCACTCCCCACTCGCGCTCTCACTCCTCTCACTTTTCCTCTTGCGTGATATAGGTTCTGTTCGGCAGCTTCTTCCAAAAGAGCCATGTTTCATAGCAGTTGAACACTTGTTGAGCGATGTATCCTTCTGCCTTCATGAATTCCGCCAAGTCTTTATTGTAGGCTTCTGCAGCGGCCTTGTCAGAACTGGAAGCCTTACCAAGTCTTATCACAATGTGGATGCCACTTCTCTTGCAGAATTTTTCAAACCACCCTCTACTGGCTTTAAATTCATCACTAGATGAACTTGTGGAGGGGTTTTGCTGCAGCAAATCACTGTGCAATTTCCTGGCTTTTTCACAGATCATGGCTTCACTAAAACTATCACCTGCCAGCTGTTTCTCACCCAACCACACTAACCGAAGTTTTTCCACCTCTTCTAGTACTTGTGCCCTCTGCTTGGTTAACATGCTTACTCCTTTTGCCACATCAGCTGCTTTGATGGCATCTTTATTCTTCAAAATAGTCAAGATGGTCGACTTCGCCTACTTGTACTCTAAGGCCAAATCAGTCACACGAATACCACGATCGTGCTTTTCTACAATCTCCTTCTTCAATCCAATGGTTATTTTCTTCTAAACCTTCTTGTTACCATTCTTGCTCTGCACTTTCTTGTTACCTTCATTATTGTGCTGCACTTTCTTTTTACCACTATTCTTGCTCTGCACATCCTTGTCACCTTCAATAACGCTCTGGACATCCTTGTCACCTTCAATAACGCTATGCACATCCTTGTCACCTTCATTAACACTCCGCACATTCTTGTCACCTTCATTAACGCTGCGCACATTGTCACCTTCGATAACGCTCCACACATTCTTGTCACCTTCATTCACGCTCCGCACATTCTTGTCACCTTCATTAACACTCTGCGCGTTCTTGTCACCTCTCTGTGCTTTCTTTTTCCCGCCATGCTTGCTCTGCACTTTCTTGGGAGCCATGCTGGATTGAATACAGTAAAAACGTACAGTACTGTGCTACAAAGCACACAAAAAAGCTTCACAGTAAGTGTCCACAGCCCTGTCTGTGACTGCAATCTCGAGTACAGGAAGCCACGACCATGTGTCAGAGCAGGGAAGATAGCTGCGGTCGTGTTAGTCACCTGAGGCAGAGCTTGCGAATGGAGGCAACATTTTTACAAACTTCCTGGTCGCGAACCGAATTGTTCGTCAACAGAGGCGTTCGTGAACCGTGGTACCACTGTATATTACTGACGTGGAAGAATCACACAGCAAAAATGTCAAAATTGTGTCAGTCATTTACGAGCAGAAACTAAAAACAAGCTCAGTCATGGAGGGGTTAAACTATTTTGGTGGCAGGAAGGATCAACTAAATAACAATTTAGATGCCCCAATTACTATGCATTTTACATAATGCCCCAATACTAAAAAAAAATTTTAACAGTATTTTTAGAGGCCCTATATGGAAACAAAAGCAGGCTAGGCTTAAACTTGATATTTTACATAGACCCAAGAATGATGGTGGATTGGCTCTGCCTGATCCTTGGTTGTACTTTATTGCCTTCCAACTGCAACACCTTTCCGGTTGGGCCCAGGGGGGGACGCATCACCAATGCCATGATTTCTTATTGCACCTTTTCGGGGGCTCCGACCCTTTAATATCCTAAGAGTGACTTTCCTACTATAAAACTAATTGGGCTTATCTGGAATACTAAAAAACATATTTAAAATGTTACTAACTTTACCAATCCAGGGGCAATGTATCTAATTTTTATTGT